CCACTCTCATATTTTTGTACTATTTCCTTCTTCACCTCTATGGTGTTTCTCAGTTTCTTTACCACAGGGATGTCACTAGCAAGTTTCTTTGGTAAAAGGACACAAGTGCAACTAATGTGACATTTTATTGTGGCAACGTTTTGCTCTCCAGGAGCTTTATCAAGCGTAATGGCTTGATAAAGCTCCTGGAGAGCGAAACGTTGCCACAATAAAATGTCACATTAGTTGCACTTGTGTCCTTTTACTTTACATATTGTCGGTAATTCTACCAACTTTATTACAAGTTTCTTTGGGCCCGTGGTAGTTTATTTCATAGTCACACAAGCACCAAACACAATGAATTAATAGTGAAATGTTTGAATGAGCACGCAGGTTAGTTAGTGTTCACTCGAGCATAAACAAAGCCAGACGCCTGTGTGGGGGACGCAGGCAGGCAGACAGGTCTGGTACGCTGTTTGAAACACATGGCGCGTTCAATACTCGGGACAAAATTGGTGCAAAAAAAGCAGTTGAAACTTAAAGCGTTTGATAATCGATGCATTCAAAACTTGGGGTTCCACTGTAATCACTCTGGAGCACTTTAAATGTCATCTACCAAATCTATATGAAATAAGTATATGACATTCAAAGTGCTCCAGAGCTATTATTATTAACCCCTTCAGGGTCTAACCCTTTCAGGGTCCGTCCCGTAGATCTACGGCTTTACGTTCAGGGTCCAAACCGTAGATCTACGCCATGAGCTCAGCTCACTCTGAAAAACTGTGAGTGGTACATTTGGGCCAGATATGAAAGAATACATCTATGTGGTATGTGTGCACCACATAAAACAGATCCTGCAGCACACTTGTGTATAATGAGAGAAAAAAAATGAAATCATGATTTTTCGATTAAAACAGCAACTTTGCAGTGTTTTTTCGTATGTTTTTTATAGTTGTATTTGGGATTTCTTGGTCTCATTTGATAGAATGGAAGACATATTACAGAAATAGAGATGATTTTGATTGGTTTTCGCATTGAAATGGCTTGAAACTGAGCTCAAAGTAGCGGAAAGATGTTAAATTTTTTGCCGATATTCAAGAGTAAACAAACGACCTCACACGTCTAATACATGTCAGCTGGTGGGTCTAATATACATTCACAAATATGGTGATGATATTTATACAATTATTACAGTATTGCATAACAGTAAATCTTCTATTTTTTGGTGTGAATAAAAATTCATTATGTGAATAAAAATCAAAATGGAATTTATTTGTAAAGCCTCAAAACATAACTAATGAACAGAGGAAATGTTAGTTTAGTGCCAGGAATGCCTACATGTTCATTCTGGACCCTATTTGGAAATTGGAATATTTTGAACTTGTGTTAAATTGGCCAAATTAACAATTTCCGATCACTTTATTTTGTAGTTGAAACAGTTGACTTGGCGATTCTTGTGCTCAATCGATAGAATAGAAGTAATACTAGTGAAATAGCTAAGAATTTGGTTGATTGGAATAATGTAATTGGCCTAAAATAGGAGTCAAAGTCGGCAAAATCGCTGATTCGTAAATATCGCTGACACATCAAAATTCGCGAGAGCATAATTTCGTCAATTTTTCACCAAATTTCGTACTTTTTGTTTTATTACCTTCACAAAAAGATTCTCTACGATTTCATAAGAAAAAATAACAAATTTTTTTTTTGAAAATTCTTGGACACTGGTGCGTGACTCCAGATTTGGGCCTTGGACCCTGAAAGGGCTAAGGCCCAAATCTGAAGTGGTGCCCCCGTGTCCAAGATTTTTCCAAAAAAAAATTTTTTATTTTTTCTTATGAAATGGTAGAGAATCTTTTTGCGAAGGTAATAAAACAAAAAGTACGAAATTTGATGGAAAATTGACGAAATTATGCTCTCGCGAATTTTGATGTGTCAGCGATATTTACGAATCGGCGATTTTGCTGACTTTGACTTCCATTTTAGGCCAATTACATCATTCCAGTCGACCAAATTCTTAGCTATTTTACTAGTATTACTTCTATTCTATCGATTGAGCACAAGAAATCGCCAAGTCAACTGTTTCAACTACAAAATAAAGTGATCGGAAATTGGTAATTTGGCCAATTTAACACAAAGTTCAAAATATTCCAATTTCAAAATAGCATCCAGAATAAACAATGTAGGCATTCCTGGCACTAAACTAACATTTCCTTGGTTCATTAGTTACATTTTGAGGCTTTACAAATAAATCCCATTTTTATTTTTTATTTACATAATGAATTTTTATTCACACCAAAAAATAGAAGATTTACTGTTATGCAATATTGTAATTGTATAAATATCATCACCACATTTGTGAATGTGTATCAGATCCACCAGCTGGTGTGTATTAGACGTGTGAGGTCGTTTGTTTACTCTTGAACATCGACAAAAATTTAACATTTCCGCTACTTTGAGCTCAGTTTCAAGCCATTTCCGGTGCTAAAACCAATCAAAATCATATCTATTTCTGTAATATGTCTTCCATTCTATCAAATGAGACCAAGAAATTGCAAATACAACTATAAAAAACATACGAAAAAACACTGCAAAGTTGCTGTTTTAATCGAAAATCTTTGTTTCAGTTTTTTTTCTCTCATTATACACAGTGTGCTGCAGGATTTGTTTTATGTGGTGCACACATACCACATAGATGTATTCTCTCATATCTAGGCCCAAGTGTACCACTCACAGTTTATCAGAGTGAGCTGAGCTCATGACGTAGATCTACGGTTTGGACACTGAACGCAAAGCCGTAGATCTACGGGACGGACCCTGAAAGGGTTAATTACAGGTCTCCCTCAACATTCACGTTTTCAACTTTCACGGGCTTCACACATTCGCGAATTCCCAACCGCCAAATTCCCAGCCACCAAATTCCCAGCCGCCAAATCATATTTAAGTTTCCCGCCACCTGCGAGTCCCTACTACCCTCCCTCCGACCCCCGCAACTGGCAGCCAGCCCTCCCACCACTCAGTGTGGCGAGTGTTTTGTTTGTTCATTATTTTCTATTAAACTACAGTATAAATAATGTAAACCCATTCATGACTGCATATTGGAATGGCTATTCGGACAGGTATTGGATGGTGACATCATGTGTTTACTCTTGAACACTGCAAAGAATTAAACATTTTGCTACAGCTTAAACTAATAATAACAATAGTAATAATAATAATAATAATAATAATAATAATAATAATAATAATAATAATAATAAATATGATATAATTGAAGAAGGAAATTGTACAAAAATACGAGGGAGTGGTTTACACATCATCATTGTGACTTTGTTTATGCTGGAGTGAACATTAGTCTCCCTGCTCTTCCAAACATTTCACAATAATTCATTGTGTTTGGTGCTTGTAGATTGAGTGTGACTGGAGTGGTAGAGGCAGTGATTGAGGCAATGGTATTTAATAACATACATGTTAATAATAATACATGTTATTAATAATATGTACTATTATTATTTATAACATATGTTATTAAACACATACGTTAATAATAATACATGTTATTAATAATAACATGTACTATTATTATTTATAACATATATGTTATTAAATACCACTGCCTCAACTGCTGAATTATTGTGAAATGTTTGGAAGAGCAGGGAGACTAATGTTCACTCCAGCATAAACAAAGTCACACTGACGATGTGTCAACCACTCCCTCGTATTTTGTACAATTTCCTTCTTCAATTATATCGTATTTATTATTATTATTATTATTATTATTATTATTATTATTATTATTATTATTATTATTATTATTATTACTATTGTTATTATTAGCAATAGCAGAAATGTTCGATTCTTTGCTGTGTTCAAGAGTAAACACATGATTTCACCATCTAATACCTTTCCTAATAGCCATTCCAATATGCAGTCATGAATGGGTTTACATTATTTATTTTGTAGTTTAATAGCAAATAATGAACAAACAAAACACTCACCACACTGAGTGGTGGGAAGGCTGGCTGCCAGTTGCGGGGGTCGGAGGGAGGGTAGTAGGGACTCGCAGTGGTGGAGGCATTGGTGGAGTCTGTGGTATTTAATAACATACATGTTATTAAATAACATACATTATTAAAGCATAACATGTATATATTTAGTACAATTTACAACGTTTTCATGTATTTTATGATTATTCATGGTTCAACAAGTTAAGGAAGCAGTATTGTAATATATTTCCCTACAATATACTGGGGCACCAAACATTCACGGTTTTTTCAACATTCACGAGGCTCTTGATCCCCTAACCCTCGCGAATGTTGAGGGAGACCTGTATTATTATTATTACCATCGACATAACTTGTTCATTGAGTTTAATCATTTGTAACACCTACCTTTAGATGCCGTGAGATACACCGAGAATATAAACACACAGACGAACACATCAACTAACCCCTTTACAGTGAACTTCTTTTGTACTTCTACCATTTTCCTCTTCCAAAGGCTGCTGCACTTCTGTCTTGTACCATGGGGTGAACAAATGTGTACTAATATGTAGTCTTGGAGACTGAGAAAGCCAGTGTACTGAGTGGCTGTGGGAATGAGCCTGAGATGCTTGACACTGAGATGCCGCACTGCCCATTTCCATGACTCAAGTTCTCATAAGGCATACAATTCTGAATAGTTGGCGAGTCAGTCATAACACCAAGTGGAGTGTAAACAAGTATGTCGCTCAGTGAGGGGTACCTGTATACCTCCATTACAAAGATTAAACTGATCTTGAAAGACTGAATGATTGTTAAGCATTGTATCATGGGAAACAACCTATAAAAATTTACCTCCTTAAAAAACATCTTATATCGTCCAGATTTACACACACGCTTAAGTGACGAGTTTTTTTTTTTTAACCACACTGGCAGTCTCCTACCAAGGCAGGGTGACTCAAAGAAGGAAACTCACCTACCATCATTCATTCAACAGCAACCTTGCTAGAACAAAGTTCCAATATTATCATCAAATCAATTTACCAGTAAGAGATCCTGACATAGCAGCATCAAGAGTGGAGACTTGGAAAAGTCTTAGAGCTTCATCAACATCCCGTTCGGTGGCAAATGGCTCTAAACGCATCTTGGCCATGGACTCTGCTATGCGGACAATGGCTTCCAGTTGCCTGGCAAGAAAAAAGATAATTTAGCTGCTATAATTTACTTTTTTCACAAAACTTCTGACAGCAAGATATATTCAGCATGACTGTTCTTTACAGAAATGGAATAAATGAAAAATTACATTAATATGGCCAAGGTGGAAAAGCAGGAACAAACTAGGTTGAAAGAAAAGGATTAATGTGTCACTTGAGGTAACTCAGGTGGAGTACCTGTACACTGAGGTACAGTGGACCCTCCATTTTCATCCACCTTCGTTATCGCCAATTTCGGTTTTGGCCGACTTTTTTCGTCAATTTTTTGGTTCCGTTTTCATCGATTACCTCAGTTTTCGTTGATCGTATGGAACCTGTCCAGTGCCCAGCGTGCAGACAAAGCTGCCTCCCACACAAATTCTCAGCCAGTATAGCGTTTGTTTCTCAGTGAATGAACATATCCTGCCAGGTCATATGAAACATTTCATGATAATCCATTGTTTTTCTCACTTGTTCATTGTGTGTGACTGCTAAATAAGCAACCATGGCTCCAAAGAAATCTCCTAGTGTCAGTGTTTTAGTAAAGAAAGTGAGGAACACCGTAGAACTGAAAAAAGAAATCCTAAGAAAATATGATAGTGGCATACGCATTGCTGAACTCAGCAGGATGTACAGGAAGTCGCCATCAACAATCAGCTGCATTGTGGCAAAGAGAAAAGAAATGAAAGCTGATGTTGCAAAAGGGGTGAATGTGATAACTAAACAGATCCCAAACAACTGAAGAAGTCAACCATACCCCCAGCCGGGATTGAACCCGCGGTCATAGAATCTCAAAACTCCAGCCCGTCGCGTTAGCCATTAGACCAGCTAGCCACAATAAGATTCATCCAACTAGGTATATTTCTACACCATAGGAAAGTTAGCACAGGCACCTCTGTGACCACAAATGCAAGTTTTTACAGACGAATCTCCAGCTAGCGTGGCCGTGACGAACTCTAGCTCAAGTCCCTTCACTGCCGTCAACATGACTCAAGAAATCGTAATGACACGATTGCAAATAAACCAATCGTGTCATTACGATTTCTTGAGTCATGTTGACGGCAGTGAAGGGACTTGAGCTAGAGTTCGTCACGGCTACGCTAACTGGAGATTCGTCTGTAAAAACTTGCATTTGTGGTCACAGAGGTGCCTGTGCTAACTTTCCTATGGTGTAGAAATATACCTAGTTGGATGAATCTTATTGTGGCTAGCTGGTCTAGTGGCTAACGCGACGGGCTGGAGTTTTGAGACTATGACCGCGGGTTCAATCCCGGCCGGGGGTATGGTTTATTTGCAATCGTGTCATTACGATTTCTTGAGTCAGCTGAAGAAGTGCAGTCTATAATTTGTGAAAAGGCAAGGTGGTTGCATGACAATCTCAAACTGCCTGAAACAAGTGCTTATGTAGGTGAATTTAAGGCCAGCAAAGGCTGGTTCGAAAAATTCAAGAAGCAAAGTGGCATACACAGTGTTATAAGGCACGGTGAGGGTGCCAGTTCAGACAAACAAGCGGCTAAAAAATCTGTGCGAGAATTCAAATGTTATGTAGAGGCTGAAAAATTCCAACCTCAACAAGTGTTCAATTGTGACAAAACAGGCCTGTTTTGGAAGAAAATGCTAAAGAGGACCTACATTACGCAGCAGGAAAAGGAACTCCCAGGACACAAGCCTATGTAAGACAGGCTAACACTCTTGTTGTGTGGTAATGCTAGTGGGGATTTCTAAGTGAAGCCTTCACTGGTGTATCTGAAAATCCCAGTTTATTCAAGAAAAACAGTGTTGTCAAGAGTAAACTGTGTGTGATGTGGAAGGTTAACAGTAGGGCATAGGTCACCAAGGAAATTTTCATGGAATGGTTCATTGAAGTGTTTGGCCCATGTGTGAAGTAATACCTCTTGGATAATAAACTGCCACTCCAGTGCCTCCTGTTAATGGACAATGCTCCTGCTCATCCTCCAGGCTTGTTTGTAACAGTGGAGCTCTTGTCTCCTAACACCACCACTCTTATCCAGCTCATGGACCAGCAGATCACTGCAAACTTCAAAAAACTGTACATCAAAGCAATGTTTCAAAGGTGCTTTGACATAACCTCAGACTCTGAATTGACTAAGAGAGATCTGGAAGAATCACTTCAATATCTTCCACTGCACAAGCCTTATAGATAATGGCTTGGCAGGGAGTGACTTCCAGGACTATGAACTCTGCTTAGGGAAAACTGTGACCAGATTGTGTCCAAAAGGAGGATTTTGAAGGGTCTGAGACTGACCCTGTCAGCCCTACACCTGTTGTGCAATCAATTGTGGCACTGGGGAATTACATGGGGTTGGATGTGAGTGGCGACGATATGGAAGAGTTGGTGGAGGAACACAATGAAGAGCTAACCACAGATTAGATGCAAGAGCTTCATCTGCAACAGCAACAGACCACAACTGAGGAATTTGCTTCAGAGGAGGAGGAAAAGAGATGGAAGAAGGTGCCTTCTTCAAAGATTATGGAGATTTGTGTAATGTGGACTAAAGTGCATTCATTTGTGGAGGAACATTACCCTGAGAAACATGTTGCAATCCGTTCTGGATACTTTTACAAGGACAATGCCATATCCCATTTTAGGCAAATTTTAACGACATGCCAGAAGCAGAGCACTCTGGACAAATATTTTGAGTGACAGGGACCCAGTGACTCAAGCTGGTCCTAGTGGCATTAAAAAACAAAAGAGGGAAGTAACTCCAGATAAGGACTTGGTACCTAGAGTTCTTATGGAGGGGGATTACCCTTCCAAAGAATAACCTCTCCCGTCCTCCATGTCTTCTTCCAGCAGCAACAACCCTCAATAAAGGTGAGTGTCATGTGTAATTTTCATTCTTTTGTGCATGTAAATCTATCTTTAACCCTTTCAGGGTCCGTCCCGTAGATCTACGGCTTTATGGTGAGTGTCCAAACCGTAGATCTACGCCATGAGCTCAGCTCACTCTGATAAACTGTGAGTGGTACATTTGGGCCTAGATATGAGAGAATACATCTATGTGGTATGTGTGCACCACATAAAACAGATCCTGCAGCACACTGTGTATAATGAGAGAAAAAAAATGAAATCATGATTTTTCGATTAAAACAGCAACTTTGCAGTGTTTTTTCGTATGTTTTTTATAGTTGTATTTGCGATTTCTTGGTCTCATTTGATAGAATGGAAGACATATTACAGAAATAGAGATGATTTTGATTGGTTTTAGCACTGGAAATGGCTTGAAACTGAGCTCAAAGTAGCGGAAATGTTAAATTTTTGCCGATATTCAAGAGTAAACAAACGACCTCACACATCTAATACACGTCAGCTGGTGGGTCTAATATACATTCACAAATATGGTGATGATATTTATACAATTATTACAGTATTGAATAACAGTAAATCTTCTATTTTTTGGTGTGAATAAAAATTCATTATGTGAATAAAAAATCAAAATGGAATTTATTTGTAAAGCCTCAAAACATAAGTAATGAACAGAGGAAATGTTAGTTTAGTGCCAGGAATGCCTACATTGTTTATTCTGGACCCTATTTTGAAATTGGAATACTTTGAACTTTGTGTTAAATTGGCCAAATTAACAATTTCCGATCACTTTATTTGTAGTTGAAACAGTTGACTTGGCGATTTCTTGTGCTCAATCGATAGAATAGAAGTAATACTAGTGAAATAGCTAAGAATTTGGTTGATTGGAATAAGGTAATTGGCCTAAAATGGGAGTCAAAGTCGGCAAAATCGCTGATTCGTAAATATCGCTGACACATCAAAATTCGCGAGAGCATAATTTCGTCAATTTTCCACCAAATTTCGTACTTTTTGTTTTATTACCTTCACAAAAAGATTCTCTACAATTTCATAAGAAAAAATAACAAATTTTTTTTTTGAAAATTCTTGGACACTGGTGCGTGACTCCAGATTTGGGCCTTGGACCCTGAAAGGGTTAAGGTAAAAAAAAAAATTTTTTGATACTTCTGGGTGTCTGGAATGGATTAAGTCCATTTATATTATTTCTTATGTGGAAATGGTTTCGGTTTTGGCCGATTTCAGTTTTGGCCGATGGCTCTGAAATGGATTGAACAAAAAAAACCGAGGGTCCATTGTAGATCGCACTACTGAAGTACAATGTGCTAGAATATGGCATGAACAACATGCTAGAATATGGCATGAACAATGTGCTAGAATATAGCATGAACAACGTGCTAGAACATGGCATGAATGTGCTAGAATACGGCATAACAATATGCTAGAATATGGCATGAACAATATGCTAGAATATACTTTTGATGTACCTCTGAAAGTAATCTGCAAACGATCATACAAAACTGGGGCAAATTTTTATCTATATTCCCCATGAGGGTAAACAGTAAAGGTGCCAGGACTGTGCCTTGACATGCTGAATGTTTTACTTTGCTAATGCTGGATTTTACTCTGTTAAATATTACTCCGTTCTGTTTGTCGAAAATGAATAATATGCTGGAATAGATTATGAACAAAGTGCTAGAATAGGGTATGAACAATATGCTAGGTGTTTCTTCTTCAGGTCAACCTGCCTCGGTGGGAAACAGCCGATGTGTTAATAAAAAACAAAAATATGCTAGAATAAGGTATGAACAGTATGCTAGAATATGGAATGAACAATATGATAGACCCTGGTATAGTATAAACTATGGTATGGTGCAACTAGTTTTTAGTAATGCTACAATGTATGTTTAACTATGAAACAACATTTGCAAAGTTTCTAATCCATTTTATTGCTTTTTTTTATTCCCAGGCAAGTGGGCTGGCATGCACCGATGTTAATTAGGGATGTGTCAAAGTATTGAAGAGTACCGGCTAATCATAATGAATTGGTTGGTATCAACATCTACAGGATGGTCCCACTTAAATGATAGGTTAGGTTCCAGGCTATGGTCATAAAGTGAAAATCAATGAATAGAATCACCCTTTACTTTGCTTATAAATGCATATAAAT